ATGTATCAAAAGATACATGATCACCTGAGTATGTATCACGCATGGCTCATAAGTGACTGATAGTGTATTGAAAAATTCCTGGTGAAGAGTCAATTCCAAAGAACAATCTGATGTGCCTGAAAAGACCCTGATAATTATTTTTAGTTATTAGTTCTTGTGACTCATCCTCAAACGGAATCTATAAATATGTGTCACTCAAATCCAATCTTGTAAAACAATGTCTGCCTGAGACTTTGGAATACAAGTCGTCTATATTTGGAATAGGTATCTTGTAAGGCAGAGTTTACTGTCTGTTTAAATTCGCCACAAATCCTTACTTGACCATTTTTCTTTATCATGGGAAAGATGTGGGAGGCCCATTCAGAAAAAGCAACTGGTTTGATAACCATGCAATCCAGTTTGGCCTCAACCTTTTCTTGGAGTGTTAATCCTATTGGACAAGGTTTCATGAAACAAGGGGTACTGTTGCGTTTTTCAAAGTAATATAATAAACTAAGCATAATAAAAAAATACTAAACTAAACCAATAACAATTACAAATACAATAACATTCATCAAAATAACACCATCAAATGTAATTGCAGAAACAAAGAAAATTGTCTACTTATCAATAAACATTAAACCATAACATAATGTATAAAGCTACTGTAACTCATAATCTTAACACAGGTGAAAAATTGATAGGTACTACAGAAAAAACCTTAAAATGTTCTTTGAGAGAAAAAATACATAAAATATACAACCCTATCAAAATACATATGGACCCAAAAATAAAACTATCCCCAGCAAAATGAAATAGGAAATTATAAAAAAGTCAGTCCCATAAAGTATCAACAGTAAAAACTGCAAACTATGCTTATAGGAAAAACTAGCAATAATTAGTTTTAGAAACCAAAATAAAATTTTAAACAAGAAAACTGAAATAATGGATAAATGTAGGCATATAAATAAATATTTACTTTGCCATCTAAGCACTAATTTACAAAAAAAATAAAAAATAATAAAGATTGAAAGAAAGAAAATTAAATAAAGAAATAAAAGTATCAATAAATATAAATAAAATAAACAGAATAAAATAAACAAAATTAAACAAAGAAATAAAAATAAACATAAAATAAACAAATATTGAATATGAACATGTGTATGTATTTCTGTGTTTACATATATATATATATATATATATATATATATGTATATATATATATCCACACAAACAACAACAAACCTAACCTTCCATAATACCTTAATATTTAAGATAATACCAAACCAAAAAAAAAAAAAAACTAATTACTAAACAAAAATGAAACATTAGACAAATGATAACATAAAACCAAATATTTAATTTACTCCCTAAACACTATTTAAAATATATATATATATATATTATGTGCATGTGCATGCATATATCTGCATACATGTGTGTGTGAGAGTGTATATTATGTACCTTACAAATTATATATTCAAATAAGCCTAACCACTCATAATTATTAACCTAACATTTGGAAAAATTCACTTTACCATTTAAGCACTAATCAATATATTAATAACAAAGCACAGACACACATGAGCATGTGTTTGTGTGTGTACATTTGTACATATGTGTGGATGTGTATACATATATATATATATATATATATATATATATATATATATACAGCAGCATGGCCCGGCTTGACTTAAAATATTTCTGCCCTTCCTTGCCTTTAAACGAGTGCCCTTTGCCATGCTGATGTTGCTATATGCCTTACTTCTTGCCTATCTCACACTGTGAATTTTTTCTAAGCTCTATACTAAACATTAAATCTTTTACAAAAAAAGAACTAAACAAAATGAACACAAAATGATCAGCTTTAAAAAAGTACTCGTAACTGGAAAAACCGAATGAAAAAAGAATGTTAACAACAAATACTTTTTCACACTCAACCCAGTTCTGTGGAATCAGAATCAATGTTGAGCTTAAGCAAGCGAATGAGCCAATTAGAGTAAAGTGCCATGCAGATTTAAATTTTTCCCACTTGTGACGAATGCAGCTATTGATTTTTTTTGCATGCTAGTTAACATTCATGTCAGTCAGCTGTTGGCTCTCACGCTGACCAATAGAATCTTCCTTTCCTATTTGTGGCAGCCAGCTATTGGCTCTCACTCTGGCCAGTAGAAAATGGCCGCAAACTACATGAAAACTGCTGTAGAAGCATGAAAAAATCAATTATTTCCACTATTGATGAGAGTTGGGAAATGCAAAGTCAGTCTTGGCCTTTCCGCTAACTTGGAGCATGTGCATGTAAATTTTGGTGAAAATCCATCGAAAATCGCAGCCGCACATTCGTTACACACACACACATCCTGCCTTTTATAGATAGATATATATATATATGTATATACATATGGATATATGTGTGTATGCATGAATGTATGCATATGTATACAAATTCAAACAACAATAAATAAAAATTTAATTATAAACCTAACCTATATCTGTCTATATCTTTGAGCTGAGGTATTGTAATTATTCATAGTATTTACATTGTTTGGACTATTGTTCTCATTTTGTTGTCATGTTCACTACCTTTCAGCCATTGTATGCTCTGGCCTTCTTCAGGACCTGTGTATATTTCTGAGATGATGTATTGTAATTATTTATAGTATTTATAGTATTTACATTGTTTGGACTATTGTCCACATGACCCAGTGGATAAAGGTGTTGGCAATCCAGTGACTTGACCCAAGCACTTCAATACCCAGCCACAGCAGAGGTGAACAAATAAATTGGATAGCTGCATTAAAAGGAAATAACTGAAACTGAAATATCTGAACGAGGCATAGCACTTGGAATAGAACAATCTGCCCCAGTGTAATAGACATGGCCGAAATCTTTGACACAAAATTGCTTGTGGCATACATGGTCATGTAAACTCAAAAATACCAGAATTGATAGCTCTGATCCTGAACAATAATTTATCGAATGGATAGAGAAGGCAGAATTGATGTTGGCTGTGCGTTGGGAAAAGGATCAAGTTTGTAGTCCTGATGCATCTAACAGGTGGTGCATACTTAGTGTATCAGCAGCTGAGTGAAGAAAGAAAAAATGACTTTGGCTGCATAACAGAAACCCTGTATACAGCCTTTGCCACTGATTCATTTGCAGCATATGAACAATTTAAGGCACGACATTTTTCTGGTGGAACTATGAAAACTGTCAGTTCTGTTTGTCAGTATACCAGACAGTTCTGTTCAGGAGTATAGCAGAACAAGGCTTAATACGTGCTTTCATGGATGGTCTACCAGAGCGTATCAAATAGCTCCTCTGTGCATCCTGCTGAATTGAAAAAATGGACACTATGCAAGTGCTGGCTCATGTGAGGGCAATATTAACCCTTTGAACCCTGTGTTCCTGAACAATTTTAAACATTCTGGTTGAGCTCCTGAGTCAAAATTTGCAAATAGTTGTTATGTAATGTTTAACGGTAGATATAAAAATAGTTACAAGTGTTCAACTCATGACTGGGCATTAAGTCATTATTCTCTACCACTGTTCAACCGGTAGCTGGGCATTAAGTCATTTTCTCTAACACCGGTAAAGCAGTGGTCAGGGCTCAAAGGGTTAAAGGACAATCCTGCAGGAATGGAACTAGCCGTTACAGATGTAAAACCAATGTGTGACTCAATGGAAGGGATTGCAAGTGCACTAACAAAATGTTATGTATATGCTAGTCCAAACCATATGGCTAGTGACTGCCACATTCGACGCAAGAGACTGCTCAAAGCCCCCCAAAAATCTCACATGTTTCCGGTGTGACGAGCCAGATCATTTGTTGCAGATTTGTTCAGAGGAAAGAAAAGAGAGTCTACATTGCCAGTCTTATTCCCTGGCAAAATATCAATTTAGCACTGCCCACAATCGTGATGCATGTGTGCAGGATGAGTGGTGTTGCACTGATGGATTCTGGGTGTTCTCAGTCTATTGTCAGTAAAAAGATGTGCCAGACATGGAAAAAGAACAATGTTGAAGTGATGACTCTTATTGGAGAAATGTGCATCAGTGGTATCAGGAAGGTAGATCTTTGGGTGTACGGAGGAACTGCAGAAATAGAGGCTTTGGTAGCACATGAGAACAAGACCACTGATGAAACGAGTGGACTGCATCATGGAAATGGACAGATGGCAAAGCACCTTACAAGCTGTGAAACTGCATTGCAGAGTATGCCATGTTGATGAAAGTTACAAAATCCTATAAAAGTAATTGCATCAATGGGTTGAGAAAGGCTGGCTTATAACCTATAACAAACAAAAATTTTGACACCTGAAAGGACTTTTTCTGTTGGTGGCCCTCATGCAACAAAACAAATCGAAGGTGCAGGCTGCAATGGATTACCAGGAACTTAACCTCTATGTTGATATGTATACAACAGATGCTGATGTTTGTGCCAGCAAACTAGGAGAGTGGAGGCAGCAAGTCAGACATGGCAATATCGGACCTCAAATTTGCCTATCTATAAGTGCAATATATATTAATGAACAACTTTGGCCATACCAGACAGTTATTTTGGAAGGCAGGAGATACTGCATGACTAAACTGGAGTTTGGGCTGAACATTGAATGATAATTAAATCCATTGTCAAAGCAGTTCTGTCTCAGGCAAAAAAGCATCAAAAAGGCAACCTCAGCATGTATCAACAACCTCTTCATAAATGAAGATATCATGTCTGTGAATTGTGTTGCAGAACACTTGTTGCACTTTGCACTGACAAGTAAGGAACCAGAGCAGCCAAACGATGGCGCTAGGATATTTGGTTTGTATGTCTGGAGGAATGATGGTACCCTATGGTGAAAATGTGGCAATATTTTCCAGATGTCCCTGAAGTAGTTACCAGGAGAAAGGTGTTCTCTTTTTGTGATAGGCTTGTCAAGTATGTGGATGGTTACAAGTAGCAATCACTATCATCAAGTGAAGAATAAACTTGGTAAGAAAAGTTTGGGATGATCAAACGAACAATGTCCCACTTAAAAGAATGCCAATGGAGACCAGTACCCGAGTGAAGCAAGTCGATCTGTGCAAAAGGTTGGGATGATCAAACGAACAATGTCCCACTTAAAAAAGAATGCCAATGGAGACCAGTACCCGAGTGAAGCAGGTCGATCTGTGCAAAAGGTTGGGATGATCAACAACAATGTCTCACTTAAAAGAATGCCAATGGAGACCAGTACCCGAGTGAAGCAGGTCGATCTGTGCAAAAGGTTGGGATGATCAAACGAACAATGTCTCACTTAAAAGAATGCCAATGGAGACCAGTACCCGAGTGAAGCAGGTCGATCTGTGCAAAAGGTTGGGATGATCAAACGAACAATGTCTCACTTAAAGAAAGAATGGAGACCAATGGAGACCTTAAAAGGTTGGGGATGATCAAACGAACAATGTGAATGCCAATGGAACCAGATCTGTGCAAAAGGTGCAAAAGGGGATGATCAAACGAACAATGTCCCACTTAAAAGAATGCCAATGGAGACCAGTACCCGAGTGAAGCAGGTCGATCTGTGCAAAGGTTGGGATGATCAAACGAACAATGTCTCACTTAAAAGAATGCCAATGGAGACCAGTACCCGAGTGAAGCAGGTCGATCTGTGCAAAAGGTTGGGATGATCAAACGAACAATGTCCCACTTAAAAGAATGCCAATGGAGACCAGTACCCGAGTGAAGCAGGTCGATCTGTGCAAAAGGTTGGGATGATCAAACGAACAATGTCCCACTTAAAAGAATGCCAATGGAGACCAGTACCCGAGTGAAGCAGGTCGATCTGTGCAAAAGGTTTGATCAAACGGACAATCAAAGAAACAATGTCTCATGTCCCTTTAAAGAATGCCAATGGATGATCCACAACACTTAAAAAGAATGCCAATGGAGACCAGTACCGAGTGAAGCAGGTCGATCTGTGCAAAAGGTTGGGATGATCAAACGAACAATGTCCCAGACCAGTTAAAAGAATGCCAATGGAGATCCAACAATGTCCCACTTAAAGAATGAAGCAGGTCGATCTGTGCAAAAAGGTTGGGATGATCAAACGAACAATGTCTCACTTAAAAGAATGCCAATGGAGACCAGTACCCGAGTGAAGCAGGTCGATCTGTGCAAAAGGTTGGGATGATCAAACGAACAATGTCTTAAAAGAATGCCAATGGAGACCAGTATTGAGTGAAGCAGGTCGATCTGTGCAAAAGGTTGGGATGATCAAACCAATACACTTAAAAAAGAATGCCAATGGAGACCAGTACGAAAGTGAAGCAGGTCGATCTGTGCAAAAGGTTGGGATGATCAAACGAACAATGTCTCACTTAAAAGAATGCCAATGGAGACCAGTACCCGAGTGAAGCAGGTCGATCTGTGCAAAAAGGTTGGGATGATCAAACGAACAATGTCTCACTTAAAAGAATGCCAATGGAGACCAGTACCGGAGTGAAGCAGGTCGATCTGTGCAAAAGGTTGGGATGATCAAACGAACAATGTCTCACTTAAAAGAATGCCAATGGAGACCAGTACCCGAGTGAAGCAGGTCGATCTGTGCAAAAGGTTGGGATGATCAAACGAACAATGTCTCACTTAAAAAGAATGCCAATGGAGACCAGTACCCGAGTGAAGCAGGTCGATCTGTGCAAAAGGTTGGGATGATCAAACGAACAATGTCTCACTTAAAAGAATGCCAATGGAGACCAGTACCGAGTGAAGCAGGTCGATCTGTGCAAAAGGTTGGGATGATCAAACGAACAATGTCCCACTTAAAAAGAATGCCAATGGAGACCAGTACCCGAAGCAGGTCGATCTGTGCAAAAGGTTGGGATGATCAAACGAACAATGTCTCTCTTAAAAGAACAGGTCGATCTGTGCAAAAAGGTTGGGATGATCAAACGAACAATGTCTCACTTAAAAAGAATGCCAATGGAGACCAGTACCCGAGTGAAGCAGGTCGATCTGTGCAAAAGGTTGGGATGATCAAACGAACAATGTCCCACTTAAAGAATGCCTGTGCGAGTGAAAGGTCGATCTGTGCAAAAAGGTTGGGATGATCAAACGAACAATGTCTCACTTAAAAGAATGCCAATGGAGACCAGTACCCGAGTGAAGCAGGTCGATCTGTGCAAAAAGGTTGGGATGATCAAACGAACAATGTCCTCACTTAAAAGAATGCCAATGGAGACCAGTACCCGAGTGAAGCAGGTCATCTGTGCAAAAGGTTGGGATGATCTAAAGAATGCCCAAAACCAGGTTGGGATGATGTTGCAAAAACGAACAATGTCTCTTAAAAAAGAATGCCAATGGAGACCAGTGGGATGATCAAAAGGTTGGGATGATCAAACGAACAATGTCTCACTTAAAAGAATGCCAATGGAGACCAGTACCGGAGTGAAGCAGGTCGATCTGTGCAAAAAGGTTGGGATGATCAAACGAACAATGTCTCACTTAAAAAAAGAATGCCAATGGAGGTTGGGACCAAACGAACAACCTTAAAAGAATGCTAATGGAGTGAAGCAGGTCGATCTGTGCAAAAGGTTGGGATGATCAAACGAACAATGTCTCACTTAAAAGAATGCCAATGGAGACCAGTACCCGAGTGAAGCAGGTCGATCTGTGCAAAAGGTTGGGATGATCAAACGAACAATGTCTCACTTAAAAAGAATGCCAATGGAGACCAGTACCCGAGTGAGTGATCTGTGCAAAAGGTTGGGATGATCAAGGAACAATGTCCCACTTAAAAAGATGGAGCCATGGAAACTGCAAAAGGTTGGGATGATCAAACGATCAAATTTCAATGTCCTCACTTAAAAGAATGCCAATGGAGACCAGTACCCGAGTGAAGCAGGTCGATCTGTGCAAAAGGTTGGGATGATCAAACGAACAATGTCTCACTTAAAAGAATGCCAATGGAGACCAGTACCCGAGTGAAGCAGGTCGATCTGTGCAAAAAGGGGATGATGGGATGATCAAACGAACAATGTCTCGATCTGTGCAAAAAGGTTGGGATGATCAAACGAACAAAAAAGAATGCCAATGGAGACCAGTACCCGAGTGAAGCAGGAAGGTTGGGATGATCAAACGAACAATGTCCCACTTAAAAGAATGCAAAAAGGTTGGGATGATCAAACGAACAATGTCGATCTTAAAAGAATGCCAATGGAGACCAGTATGGAGACCAGTACCGAGTGAAGCAGGTCGATCTGTGCAAAAGGTTGGGATGATCAAACGAACAATGTCTCACAAAAAAGAATGCCAATGGAGACCAGTACCCGAGTGAAGCAGGTCGATCTGTGCAAAAGGTTGGGATGATCAAACGAACAATGTCTCACTTAAAAAGAATGCCAATGGAGACCAGTACCCGAGTGAAGCAGGTCGATCTGTGCAAAAGGTTGGGATGATCAAACGAACAATGTCTCACTTAAAAAGAATGCCAATGGAGACCAGTACCCGAGTGAAGCAGGTCGATCTGTGCAAAAGGTTGGGATGATCAAACGAACAATGTCTCACCAAAAAGAATGCCAATGGAGACCAGTACCGAAAGTGAAGCAGGTCGATCTGTGCAAAAGGTTGGGATGATCAAACGAACAATGTCTCATAAAAGAACTTAAAAGAATGATCTGTGCAAAAGGTTGGATGATCAAAGCGAACAATGTCCCGCTTAAAAAGAATGCCAATGGAGACCAGTACCCAGGTCGATCTGTGCAAAAAGGTTGGGATGATCAAACGAACAATGTCTCACTTAAAAAGAATGCCAATGGAGACCAGTACCCGAGTGAAGCAGGTCGATCTGTGCAAAAGGTTGGGATGATCAAACGAACAATGTCTCACTTAAAAAGAATGCCAATGGAGACCAGTACCCGAGTGAAGCAGGTCGATCTGTGCAAAAGGTTGGGATGATCAAACGAACAATGTCTCACTTAAAAAGAATGCCAATGGAGACCAGTACCCGAGTGAAGCAGGTCGATCTGTGCAAAAAGGTTGGGATGATCAAACGAACAATGTCTCACTAAAAAAGAATGCCAATGGAGACCAGTACCCGCAAAAGTGAAGCAGGAATGCCAATCGATCTGTGCAAAAAGGTTGGGATGATCAAACAACAATGTCTCACTTAAAAGAATGCCAATGGAGACCAGTACCCGAAAGTGAAGCAGGTCGATCTGTGCAAAAGGTTGGGATGATCAAACGAACAATGTCTCACTTAAAAAAAGAATGCCAATGGAGACCAGTACCCGAGTGAAGCAGGTCGATCTGTGCAAAAGGTTGGGATGATCAAACGAACAATGTCTCACTTAAAAGAATGCCAATGGAGACCAGTACCCGAGTGAAGCAGGTCGATCTGTGCAAAAAAGGTTGGGATGATCAAACGAACAATTTCCCACTTAAAAAAGAATGCCAATGGAGACCAGTACCCGAGTGAAGCAGGTCGATCATAAAAAAGAATGCAAAAGGTTGGGATGATCAAACGAACAATGTCCCACTTAAAAAGAATGCCAATGGAGACCAGTACCCGAGTGAAGCAGGTCGATCTGTGCAAAAGGTTGGGATGATCAAACGAACAATGTCTCACTTAAAGAATGCCAATGGAGACCAGTACCCGAAAGTGAAGCAGGTCGATCTGTGCAAAAGGTTGGGATGATCAAACGAACAATTTCTCCTTAAAAGAATGCCAATGGAGACCAGTACCCGAGTGAAGCAGGTCGATCTGTGCAAAAGGTTGGGATGATCAAACGAACAATTTCTCACTTAAAAGAATGCCAATGGAGACCAGTACCCGAGTGAAGCAGGTCGATCTGTGCAAAAGGTTGGGATGATCAAACGAACAATTTCTCACTTAAAAAGAATGCCAATGGAGACCAGTACCCAGTGAAGCAGGTCGATCTGTGCAAAAAAGGTTGGGATGATCAAACGAACAATTTCTCACTTAAAGAATGCCAATGGAGACCAGTACCCGAGTGAAGCAGGTCGATCTGTGCAAAAAGGTTGGGATGATCAAAGGCCAATGCCAATGGAGACCAGTAGGTTGGGAGTGAAGCTGTGCAAAAAGTTGGGATGATCAAACGAACAATGTCTCACTTAAAAAGAATGCCAATGGAGACCAGTACCCAGTGAAGCAGGTCGATCTGTGCAAAAAAGGTTGGGATGATCAAACGAACAATGTCTCACTTAAAAGAATGCCAATGGAGACCAGTACCCAAAAAGGTGAAGCAGGTCGATCTGTGGAAAAAGGTTGGGATGATCAAACGAACAATTTCTCACTTAAAAGAATGCCAATGGAGACCAGTACCCGAGTGAAGCAGGTCGATCTGTGCAAAAGGTTGGGATGATCAAACGAACAATGTCTCACTTAAAAGAATGCCAATGGAGACCAGTACCCGAGTGAAGCAGGTCGATCTGTGCAAAAGGTTGGGATGATCAAACGAACAATGTCTCACTTAAAAGAATGCCAATGGAGACCAGTACCCGAGTGAAGCACGATCTGTAAAAAGGTTGGGATGATCAAACGAACAATGTCACTTTAAAAGAATGCCAATGGAGACCAGTACCCGAGTGAAGCAGGTGATCTGTGCAAAAGGTTGGGATGATCAAACGAACAATGTCTCACTTAAAAGAATGCCAATGGAGACCAGTACCCGAGTGAAGCAGGTCGATCTGTGCAAAAGGTTGGGATGATCAAAGTCCGAACAATGTCCCAGGTCGATCTGTGCAAAAAGAATGCCAATGGAGACCAGTACCCGAGTGAAGCAGGTCGATCTGTGCAAAAAGGTTGGGATGATCAAACGAACAATGTCCCCTTAAAAGAATGCCAATGGAGACCAGTACCCGGAGTGAAGCAGGTCGATCTGTGCAAAAGGTTGGGATGATCAAACGAACAATCTCACTTAAAAATGCCAATGGAGACCAGTACCCAGTGAAGCAGGTCGATCTGTGCAAAAGGGTTGGGATGATCAAACGAACAATGTCCCACTTAAAAAGAATGCCAATGGAGACCAGTACCCGAGTGAAGCAGGTCGATCTGTGCAAAAGGTTGAGATGATCAAACAGACAATGTCTCTTAAAAGAATGCCAATGGAGACCAGTACCCGAGTGAAGCAGGTCGATCTGTGCAAAAAGGTTGGGATGATCAAACGAACAATGTCCCACTTAAAAAGAATGCCAATGGAGACCAGTACCCGAGTGAAGCAGGTCGATCTGTGCAAAAGGTTGAGATGATCAAACGAACAATGTCTCACTTAAAAGAATGCCAATGGAGACCAGTACCGAGTGAAGCAGGTCGATCTGTGCAAAAGGTTGGGATGATCAAACGAACAATGTCTCACTTAAAAAGAATGCCAATGTGAGACCTTAACAATTTCTCCGCCAATGGAGACCAGAAGTGAAGGTCGATCTGTGCAAAAGGTTGGGATGATCAAACGAACAATGTCTCACTTAAAAGAATGCCAATGGAGACCAGTACCCGAGTGAAGCAGGTCGATCTGTGCAAAAAGGTTGGGATGATCAAACGAACAATGTCCCACTTAAAAAGAATGCCAATGGAGACCAGTACCCGAGTGAAGCAGGTCGATCTGTGCAAAAAGGTTGGGATGATCAAACGAACAATTTTCTCACTTAAAGAATGCCAATACCAAAAAGAATGCCAATGGAGACCAGTACCAATGTCCTTAAAGAAGTGAAGCAGGTCGATCTGTGCAAAAGGTTGGGATGATCAAACGAACAATGTCCCACTTAAAAGAATGCCAATGGAGACCAGTACCGTTAGTGTCAAAAGCAGGTCGATCTGTGCAAAAGGTTGGGATGATCAAACGAACAATTTCTCATAAAAGAATGCCAATGGAGACCAGTACCCGAGAGTGAAACAGGTCGATCTGTGCAAAAAGGTTGGGATGATCAAACGAACAATGTCTCACTAAAAGAATGCCAATGGAGACCAAAAAGAATGCCAATGGATGACCAGTCCCCGAGTGAAGCAGTACCGATCTGTGCAAAAGGTTGGGATGATCAAACGAACAATGTCTCACTTAAAAAAGAATGAGCCAATGGAGACCAGTACCGTAAAAGCAGGTCGATCTGTGCAAAAGGTTGGGATGATCAAACGAACAATTTCTCACTTAAAAGAATGCCAATGGAGACCAGTACCCGAGTGAAGCAGGTCGATCTGTGCAAAAGGTTGGGATGATCAAACGAACAATGTCTCACTTAAAAAAGAATGCCAATGGAGACCAGTACCCGAAAGTGAAGCAGGTCGATCTGTGCAAAAGGTTGGGATGATCAAACTTAAAAGAACAATTTCTCAGGTTGGGATTAAAAGAATGCCAATGGAGACCAGTACCCGAGTGAAGCAGGTCGATCTGTGCAAAAGGTTGGGATGATCAAACGAACAATGTCTCACTTAAAAGAATGCCAATGGAGACCAGTACCCGAGTGAAGCAGGTCGATCTGTGCAAAAAGGTTGGGATGATCAAACGAACAATTCTCACTTAAAGAATGCCAATGGAGACCAGTACCCGAGGTGAAGCAGGTCGAATCTGTGCAAAAGGTTGGGATGATCAAACGAACAATGTCCCACTTAAAAGAATGCCAATGGAGACCAGTACCAGGAAATTTCTCATAAAAGATCTGTGCAAAAAGGTTGGGATGATCAAACGAACAATGTCTCACTTAAAAGAATGCCAATGGAGACCAGTACCCGAGTGAAGCAGGTCGATCTGTGCAAAAGGTTGGGATGATCAAACGAACAATGTCCTCACTCAAAAGAATGCCAATGGAGACCAGTACCCGATCTGTGAAAAAGGTGGGATGATCTGTCACAAAAGAATTGGGATGATCATCTGTGCAAAAGGTTGGATGATCCTCACTTAAAAGAAATGGAATGCCAATGGAGACCAAAAGGTTGGGATGATCAAACGAACAATGTAATTTAAAAGAATGCCAATGGAGACCAGAAGCAGGTCGATCTCTGTGCAAAAAAGGTTGGGATGATCAAACGAACAATGTCTCACTTAAAAGAATGCCAATGGAGACCAGTATTGAGTGAAGCAGGTCGATCTGTGCAAAAGGTTGGGATGATCAAAACGAACAATGTCCACTTAAAAGAATGCCAATGGAGACCATCTGTGCAAAAGTTAGGATGATCAAACGAACAATGTCTCCTAAAAGAATGCCAATGGAGACCAGTACCCGAGTGAAGCAGGTCGATCTGTGCAAAAAGGTTGGGATGATCAAACGAACAATGTCTCACTTAAAAGAATGCCAATGGAGACCAGTACCCGAGTGAAGCAGGTCGATCTGTGCAAAAGGTTGGGATGATCAAACGAACAATGTCTCACTTAAAAGAATGCCAATGGAGACCAGTACCCGAGTGAAACAGGTCGATCTGTGCAAAAGGTTGGGATGATCAAACCAACAATGTCTCACTTAAAAAGAATGCCAATGGAGACCAGTACCCGAGTGAAGCAGGTCGATCTGTGCAAAAGGTTGTGAAGGATGATCAAACGAACAATGTCTCACTTAAAAGAATGCCAATGGAGACCAGTACCCGAGTGAAGCAGGTCGATCTGTGCAAAAGGTTGGGATGATCAAACGAACAATTTCACTTAAAAGAATGCCAATGGAGACCAGTACCGAGTGAAGCAGGTCGATCTGTGCAAAAAGGTTGGGATGATCAAACGAACAATGTCTCCTTAAAAAAAGAATGCCAATGGAGACCAGTACCCGAGTGAAGCAGGTCGATCTGTGCAAAAGGTTGGGATGATCAAACGAACAATTTCTCACTTAAAAAGAATGCCAATGGAGACCAGTACCGAGTGAAGCAGGTCGATCTGTGCAAAAAGGTTGGGATGATCAAACGAACAATGTCTCACTTAAAAGAATGCCAATGGAGACCAGTACCCGAGTGAAGCAGGTCGATCTGTGCAAAAGGTTGGGATGATCAAACGAACAATTTCTCACTTAAAAAAGAATGCCAATGGAGACCAGTACCGATCTGTGCAAAAGGGTTAGGATGATCAAACGACTTAAAGAATGCAGGTGGGTCGATCTGTGCAAAAAGGTTGGGATGATCAAACGAACAATGTCTCACTTAAAAAGAATGCCAATGGAGACCAGTACCCGAGTGAAGCAGGTCGATCTGTGCAAAAGGTTGGGATGATCAAACGAACAATGTCTCACTTAAAAGAATGCCAATGGAGACCAGTACCCGAGTGAAGCAGGTCGATCTGTGCAAAAGGTTGGGATGATCAAACGAACAATTTCTCACTTAAAAGAATGCCAATGGAGACCAGTACCCGAGTGAAGCAGGTCGATCTGTGCAAAAGGTTGGGATGATCAAACGAACAATGTCCCACTTAAAAGAATGCCAATGGAGACCAGTACCCTTAAAAGAATGCCAAGAGTGAAGCAGGTCGATCTGTGCAAAAGGTTGGGATGATCAAACGAACAATTTCTCACTTAAAAGAATGCCAATGGAGACCAGTACCCGAGTGAAGCAGGTCGATCTGTGCAAAAAGGTTGGGATGATCAAACGAACAATGTCCCACTTAAAAGAATGCCAATGGAGACCAGTACCCGAAGTGAAGCAGGTCGATCTGTGCAAAAAAGGTTGGGATGATCAAACGAACAATGTCCGATTCCAGCAAAAGGTTGGGATGATCAAAAAATGTCTCACTTAAAAGAATGCCAATGGAGACCAGTACTTGAGTGAAGCAGGTACGATCTGTCAAAAGGTTGGGATGATCAAACGAACAATGTCTCACTTAAAAAGAATGCCAATGGAGACCAGTACCCGAGTGAAGCAGGTCGATCTGTGCAAAAGGTTGGGATGATCAAACGAACAATGTGCCAACAAAAAAGAATGGTAAAAAGGTTGGGAGACCAATGTCTCACTTAAGAATGCCAATGGAGACCAGTACCCGAGTGAAGCAGGATCGATCTGTGCAAAAGGTTGAGATGATCAAACGAACAATGTCTCCTTAAAAGAATGCCAATGGAGACCAGTACCCGAGTGAAGCAGGTCGATCTGTGCAAAAGGTTGGGATGATCAAACGAACAATGTCTCACTTAAAGAATGCCAATGGAGACCAGTACCCGATGTGAAGCAGGTCACTTAAAAGAATCTGTGCAAAAGGTTGGGATGATCAAACGAACAATGTCTCACTTAAAAGAATGCCAATGGAGACCAGTACCGAGTGAAGCAGGTCGATCTGTGCAAAAAGGTTGGGATGATCAAACGAACAATGTCTCACTTAAAAAAGAATGCCAATGGAGACCAGTGGGATGAAAAACCAACAATGTCCCCTTAAAGAAGTGGAGACCAGTACCGAAAGTGAAGCAGGTCGATCTGTGCAAAAGGTTGGGATGATCAAACGAACAATGTCTCACTTAAAAGAATGCCAATGGAGACCAGTGCCGAGTGAAGCAGGTCGATCTGTGCAAAAGGTTGGGATGATCAAGCTAAACAATGTCTCAAAAGAATGCCAATGGAGGCCAGTACCGAGGTGCAAAAAGGCTGAGATGGTAAAAGAATGCCAATGGAGACCAATGAAGTGATCTGTGCAAAAGGTTGGGATGATCAAACGAACAATGTCTCACTTAAAAGAATGCCAATGGAGACCAGTACCCGAGTGAAGCAGGTCGATCTGTGCAAAAAGGTTGGGATGATCAAACGAACAATTTCTAAAAGAATGCCAATGGAGACCAGTACCCCGAAGCAGGTGAAGCAAAAGGTGGGATGATCAACGAACAACGTCTCACTTAAAAGAATGCCAATGGAGACCAAGGTTGGGATGATCAAACGAACAATTTCTCACTTAAAAGAATGCCAATGGGACCAGACCAGTACCAGTACCAAAAGGTTGGAGTGAACAAGCAGGTGGAGACCAGTCTGTGCTGTGCAAAAAGGTTGGGATGATCAAGCGAACAATGTCTCACTTAAAGAATGCCAATGGAGACCAGTACCCGAGTGAAGCAGGTCGATCTGTGCAAAAAGGTTGGGATGATCAAACGAACAATGTCTCACTTAAAAAGAATGCCAATGGAGACCAGTACCGAGTGAAGCAGGTCGATCTGTGCAAGGTTGGGATGATCAAACGAACAATGTCTCACTTAAAGAATGCCAATGGAGACCAGTACACTTAAAAGAAGTGAAGCGAGTGAAGCAGGTCGATCTGTGCAAAAGGTTGGGATGATCAAACGAACAATGTCTCACTCTAAAAGAATGCCAATGGAGACCAGTACCAGAAGCCGAGTGAAGCAGGTCGATCTGTGATGATCAAAAAGGTTGGGATGATCAAGCGAACAATGTCTCACTTAAAGAATGCCAATGGAGACCAGTACCCGAGTGAAGCAGGTCCATCTGTGCAAAAGGTTGGGATGATCAAACGAACAATGTCTCACTTAAAAGAATGCCAATGGAGACCAGTACCCGAAGTGAACAGGTCGATCTGTGCAAAAGGTTGAGATGATCAAACGAACAATGTCCACTAAAAGAATGCCAATGGAGACCAGTACCCAGTGAAGCAGAATTAGATCTGATGATCAAACGAACAAAAAAGGTTTGGGATGATCAAACGAACAATGTCTCACTTAAAGAATGCCAATGGAGACCAGTACCCGAGTGAAGCAGGTCGATCTGTGCAAAAGGTTGGGATGATCAAACGAACAATGTCTCACTTAAAAGAATGCCAATGGAGACAGTACCCGAGTGAAGCAGGTCGATCTGTGCAAAAAGGTTGGGATGATCAAAGCGAACAATGTCTCACTTAAAGAATGCCAATGGAGACCAGTACCAAAAGTACCCTTAAAAGAATGCCAATGGAGTGAAAAGGTCAAACGATCAATGTGCAAAAGGTTGGGATGATCAAACGAACAATGTCTCACTTAAAAGAATGCCAATGGAGACCAGTACCGAAAGTGAAGCAGGTTAGATCTGTGCAAAAGGTTGGGATGATCAAACGAACAATTGTCTCATAAAAAAGAATGCCAATGGAGACCAGTACCCGAAGTGAAGCAGGTCGATCTGTGCAAAAGGTTGGGATGATCAAACGAACAATTTCTCACTTAAAAAGAATGCCAATGGAGACCAGTAAAGTGAAGCAGGTCGATCTGTGCAAAAGGTTGGGATGATCAAACGAACAATGTCTCTTTAAAAAAGAATGCCAATGGCAGGACCTGTGCAAAAAGGTTGGGATGATCAAGCGAACAATGTCTCACTTAAAAAGAATGCCAGGTGAAGCAGGTCGATCTGTGCAAAAGGTTGGGATGATCAAACGAACAATGTCTCACTTAAAAGAATGCCAATGGAGACCAGTACCCAGTGAAGCAGGTCGATCTGTGCAAAAGGTTGGGATGATCAAGCGAACAATGTCTCACTTAAAAGAATGCCAATGGAGACCAGTACCCGAGTGAAGCAGGTCGATCTGTGCAAAAGGTTGGGGATCAAACGAACAATGTCTCACGCCAATGGAGACCAATTTCGATCTCAAAGGTTGGGAAAGAACAATGTCTCCTTAAAAAGAATGCCAATGGAGACCAGTACCCGAGTGAAGCAGGTCGATCTGTGCAAAAGGTTGGGATGATCAAGCGAACAATGTCCCGAACTTAAAAGAATGCCAATGGAGACCACCCGAGTGAAGCCGATCTGTGCAAAAGGTTGGGATGATCAAACGAACAATGTCCCTGTTAAAAATGCCAATGGAGACCAGTACCCGTGAAGCAGGCCGATCTGTGCAAAAGGTTGGGATGATCAAACGAACAATGTCTCACTTAAAAAGAATGCCAATGGAGACCAGTACCCGAGTGAAGCAGGTCGATCTGTGCAAAAGGTTGGGATGATCAAGCGAACAATGTCTCACTAAAAGAATGCCAATGGAGACCAGTACCCGAGTGAAGCAGGTCGATCTGTGCAAAAAGGTTGGGATGATCAAAGAACAATGTCTCACTTAAAGAATGCCAATGGAGACCAGTACCCGAAAGTGAAGCAGGTCGATCTGTGCAAAAGGTTGGGATGATCAAACGAACAATGTCTCACTTAAAAGAATGCCAATGGAGACCAGTACCCGAGTGAAACAGGTCGATCTGTGCAAAAGGTTGGGATGATCAAACGAACAATGTCTCACTTAAAAGAATGCCAATGGAGACCAGTACCCGAGTGAAGCAGGTCGATCTGTGCAAAAAGGTTGGGATGATCAAACGAACAATGTCTCACTTAAAAAAAGAATGCCAATGGAGACCAAAAGGTTGGATGATCAAACGACCTTAAAAAGAATGCCCAATGGAGACCAGTACCGAGTGAAGCAGGTCGATCTGTGCAAAAGGATTGGGATGAATGCCAAACAATGTCAATGATTGGGATAAAAGAATGCCAATGGAGACCAGTGCAAAAGGTTGGGATGACCGAACATTACCAATGGAGACCAGTGAAGCAGGATCTGTGCAAAAGGTTAGGATGATCAAACGAACAATGTCCCACTTAAAAGAATGCCAATGGAGACCAGTACCCGAGTGAAGCAGGTCGATCTGTGCAAAAGGTTGGGATGATCAAACGAACAATGTCTCACTTAAAAGAATGCCAATGGAGACCAGTACGAGTGAAGCAGGTCGATCTGTGCAAAAGGTTGGGATGATCAAACGAACAATGTCCCAGTAAAAAGAATGCCAATGGAGACCAGTACCCAGTGAAGCAGGTCGATCTGTGCAAAAAGGTTGGGATGATCAAACGAACAATGTCTCACTTAAAAGAATGCCAATGGAGACCAGTACCCGAAAGTGAAGCAGGTCGATCTGTGCAAAAGGTTGGGATGATCAAACGAACAATGTCCACTTAAAAATGCCAAGAATGCCAATGTTGGGATGATCCGAACAAGTACCCTTAAAAGAATGCCAATGGAGAAGCACGCCCAGTGAAGCAGGTCGATCTGTGCAAAGGTTGGGAATCAAACGAACAATGTCTCACTTAAAGAATGCCAATGGAGACCAGTACCTGAGTGAAGCAGGTCGATCTGTGCAAAAGGTTGGGATGATCCGAACAACTTAAAAAGAATGCCAATGGAGACCAGTACCCAGTGAAAATCTGTGCAAAAGGTTGGGATGATCAAACGAACAATGTGCTTAAAAATGCCAATGGAGACCAGTACCGGAAAAGACCAGTAAAAGGTTGGGATGATCAAAAACAATGTCCCACTGAATCTGGAGACCAGTACCCAAAAGGTGGATGAACAATGTCTCACTTAAAAAAGAATGCCAAAGACCAATGATCTGTCAAAGGTTGGGATGATCAAACAACAATGTCCCTTTTAAAGAATGCCAATGGAGACCAACAATGTCTCAAAAAATGCCAATGGAGACCAAGGTATCTGTGCAAAGTGAATGTCACTCAAAAAGAATGTGGCGACCATCTGAAGCAGGTGCAAAAGGTTGGGATGATCAAACGAACAATGTCTCACCAAAAAAGAATGCCAATGGATGACCAATGTACCCTGGAAAAGAATGTGGAGAAAGCAGGACGATCTGTGCAAAAGGTTGGGATGATCAAACGAACAATGTCCCCTTAAAAAGAATGCCAATGGAGACCAATGGCAGGTCGATCCAAAAAGGTTACCCGATGATCAAAACAATGTGAACAATGTTAAAAGAATGCCAATGGAGACCAGTACCTTCGATCTGTCAAAAGGTTGTGCAAAAGGTTGGGATGATCAAAGGTCGAACAATGTCTCACTTAAAAAAGAATGCCAATGGAGACCAGTGGGATGATCAAGCTAACAATGTCCACTTAAAAGAATGCCAATGGAGACCAGTACCAGAGTGAAAAAGGCGAGTCTGTGCAAAAGGTTGGGATGATCAAACGAACAATGTCCAAGAAAAAAAGCAAATGGTGTGTGGATGTGCAAAAAAAAAAAACAAATGTGTGGATTTACTATTTGGGTTGAGGCAATTTCTTTAATAACCAGAGTTACAATGGAATCTGGTGGGTCTATTGTCAAGGATGCATGTTTGTTGAGGCCAGAGTCAGACACACAACTTATTAACTTTGCAGAATTGGATACAGTTTTTAGAGGAGTCAACCTAGACATACAATGGGAGGCAAAGACCATACACCTAAAAATGGACTTGCTATGCATGTATAAATAGCTCACGGACATGCTGACTGGCAAAGCTTGAGTGAGCACCAAGGCTGTAGGTAAAATATTGATCAGAAGAAGGTTGCAAACCTTCTTGGAACTTGTCAAGGAGTTTGCTTTGTCAGTGGATGTTACCCTTGTCAGGTCAAACCAAAACCAGGCGGACTTAATTACCAGAGTCTCTCAGAGGTGGCTGGAAATTAAATATGGAACTGAACCTGTGCACCAGGTATGTGTTACAACTGGCAGTGGAATGGAGTTCAGCCAGATGAAGAAAATAGACCTGCATTGTGGACATCCTGTGGACATTCTACTTTGTTAGGAAGATTGTCCCATCCACAACAAAAGAAGCTATCAGATCAGCAATTAAGATCCTATTTGGAATGCTAATCGATTGATCCAGCACTGATCCGATGGCAGAGAGGGAAACTGAGGACAGCAGGTGTATGGTAAAGACTTGGTACGGACATCACTCATTATAGAGGCACCCATTACTTGTCCCTCATAGAGTGTGGACCTTCCTGGTTTGCCATTTGACAACCCTTAGCGCAAGAAGATTCTGCTGCTGTAATCCAGCATCTCATGGCAATCTTTCTTGAAAAGGGCCTACCCAATAAGATCCTGACAGACAATGTGATCATGAGATCAGGGAGGAATATAATAGACATGGCCTATCTACTCAATGAAAGAGGCACAGAATTGTAAATTACCTAGTGCCTTAAGACTAATTAAATGCCTGTAGGTGGGCATGAAAAAAATCTGCATAACTGATTGAGGCACACATAAAAACCAGCGGATTTTGTCTTTGTTGGGAGATTGATTACAGATGACAAGGAATACATTTGAATGAGCCAGCTGTGAGGTTCAAGGACAAAGATATGACAGTGAGGAATGTGAAATGGACTACTACAGATATATTACAAATATATTACTACAACTGGTGGATGAAATGAAGGGTTTGGTTTGAAATTCTAATCATCTGAAAAAGGCTGGAGCATACAATGGTCAAAATGTTGAGAATATGACAACAAAGATGAGGACAATAATCCGAACAATGTAAATACTGTAAATAAACTTAACCTACTATAATGAACACACTAATACATAAGATACCACCAAATCAAATAAGAAAAATGAAATAATGACCACGTGAAGACATATAAATATTTACCTTATTTAAGCATTAATAATAATTAAAAAGAAAAATTATTTATGTAAAAAAATGAAATACAATTTTCCAAACTCCAGAAAAAACTAGAACACTCAAAAATTAACAAGAAGAGTGAATGTCTGGAAAACTGGATATCAAAATCGCAACAATTGAAAGAAAGAGTAAAAGTATAAAACCAATAAGGAGAGTGACTAAAAATATGACAGAAAGGAGAAATAACCACAGCATGTATGCACAGATGGGTGCATGAATGTGCACATGCATGAGTGCAATCACATACTATGAAAGAAAAAGAAAATCAACTTTGCACCAATGAAAAGTACATATACAGACAAACCTCTCATCAACAGATTAATAGGGCGTGGGGTGGTCCATTAAAGCTGATTGTCCGTAGATGGGAAGGGATTATTTTTGAGTTATAAAACCAATATAGTAACTGCCAGCAGTTATGATCATAATGTAAATAATATAAACCTGTATATATGACATAAATAAACATCTAGTATAGATATATTAATCAAAATAACAAAAATAATAGATTTCTCACAGCTACTTTCTCATGCACATGCTAATATATAACTGCATATATATACTGTATGCCCATCTTTGTTTACAATTGAAAGGCCAGCCATCACCACCAAGTGGTCACTTTGAGAACTAATACAACTTATTCCACTAAGCCTGCAAATTTTAAAATACATTTGGAAGTTTTTTTCCTGTAGATTTTTTTTTTATTATGCTTACAGATTTTGTCTGTTTCATCTGAAGTCCATTGATGGGGATCTGTAGATGAGCAGTTTGTCTGTCTATATAAAAATGAAGAATATAAACAGTTAATTGCTGATAACCCCTGAGGAGTGGACAGAGTGATTGCTGGAGGGTCCACTTCAAAACTCTGGAGTTGGGATGCTGTAGGTCATGTGTGTCAAACTGGCAGCCCTTTACATACATCTTAGCAGCCCTCACAAAGTTTTCTATAGACATGGTATATTGAGAATTTTGTCTATGTTGGTAATGCAAAATATTAAAAACAGTGAAATTTTTTTTTCAGTTGGTATGATTAGATTGTTTATTCTATCTCAATGCCTTTTTGTTTTCGATAGCGACTATTTTTAATTTCCGGTTAATCATATGAACATCCTTGACAACTAAATAAGAACAAATGTAAAGTGAAAATGTTCGTAATTCTGTAATATCTTCACTTAAAAATTTCAAATTCTACTCTATCTCATAAAAAGAGAAAATTATCTGAAGACGGACGTGTGTTTCAAGAAAAGTAGAATTATAGTACCTTTGTACCATTGTTAATGGAAAGATAAACTGTTTGATTTGCAACCACTGCATTGCAATGCCAAAAAATATAATGTGAAAAGACGTTATGAAACAAACTATCGATCTTATGATAAATACAAAGGAGATATGCGTGTTTCAAAAGTGAAGGAATTCAAGGTTAAGTTAACACAGCAACAGAGTTGCTTTACAAAAATTCAGAAAGGGAACATTAGTTCTGTTACTGCAAGCTTTGAATTCTGCAAAATGATTGCCATCAGTGGAAAACCTTACAGTGAAGGAGATTTCATAATAATGTCTTGTAAAAACAACTGAAATTCTATGTCCAGAGAAGTCACACTCATTTCATGGCATTTCATTAAGGCAGGAACACTGTTGCTGAATTGATTGATGAAATGGCAGGTGATTTGAGTTGACAGCCGAAGACTTTATCATCAAATTTTGAATATTTTTCTATTGCTCTGGAGTAGACTGTTGACATAGCTGGAATAGCACAGGTCGCCATTTTCATCAGGGCTTGTGACAATGAATTTCAAATTTATGCAGAACTAATTGAACTGGTCCCAATGCATGATGCTACAACAAGCCAGGATATTGTTGAGAAAGTTGAACAGTTTCTCCATGAGTATGTCCTTGATTTGAGTAAACTTGTGTGCTTATCTACTGATGGTGCTGCCAATATGGTTTGGAGACATAATGGTGTTGCTGTCAAGTTAGGTACAAAAATAGAAAACATATATCCAGATTCAACATTCAAGCATTTTCACTGGATTATTCATCAACAGAACTTATGTTCTAAGATTTTAAAATTAGATCATGTGTTGAGTTTGTCATAAAAACAGTGAACTATATCAGAGGTTGTGCTCTGCATCACCATCAGTTTAGCCAGTTATTGGAAGACATGAATAATCAGTTCACAAATGTCCCATTCTACACAGAAGTTTGATGGCTTTCATGTCACAAGATATTGAAAAGATTTTTTTTATTGCGACACAAAATTGTTATGTTTTTGGAGATGAAGGGTCAAAGCACAGAGGAATTGAAAGATGAAAGCTGGCTCCAAGATTCAGCTTTTACAGTGGATATTACTATCCAATTAAGTGACTTTAATTTGAAATTACAAGGTAAAAATAAGCTCATCACTCAGTTATATGATGATATCAAGTGTTTCATTGCAAAATTAGCTTTAGTGAAGTTCCAGTTGTCTCATGAAAACTTGATTCATTTTCCTATGTACAAAGAGTTGAAAAAAGCTGTCAATACTGAGTCCGTATTTATCTTTGCTAAGTACAACAGTTACCTGGAATTGTTGTCAAAGGAATTTTCGTAAAGATTTTGTGATTTTTCATCTTGTGAAGATCAGTTTGCATTATTCTCAGCACTATTCACTTTTGGTGTTGCTCAGGCAGAGGAAAGTCTACAGATGGAACTACTGGAAATGCAGACTGACTCAACACTCAAGGGAAAGTACCTCAAAGTAGGGGTACCTGAATTTTTTTCAAACCTTCCTCAGACATTTAAGAACTTCAGAAACTTTGACACAAAGATTATGGCAATGTTTGCTTCCACCTATGTCTGTGAGCAGTTATTTTCATTTATGAAAACCACAAAAACGTCTCACAGAACCAGATTAACTGAATTGAAAGATGAAAGCTGGCTCCAAGATCTAGCTTTTTCAGCAGATATTACTGCCCAATTAAGTGACCTTAATTTTAAATTACAAAGTAAAAATAAGCTCATTACCACTCATCAGCTAAACCTGATGAGTGGTAATTACATGACAGAGATAGATGGATGGATGGTCGCTCGTATGCAAGGATTTCCGTCCACAATCCCTATTTGCAGACGCCTGCTCAGGCACATTTGTGTTTGTTCAACACCAGAAGATGACATTTGTCATCTTTGATCAAAGTGGGATCTACACAGGCATCCCAACCTGATATATCGAGAATAGTTTGTCTAAAGCGATGTCAATCATCATGACAACATAAAAATGATTAAATTGTACTACCTTGTATTGTAAGTATTTTGTATTTAAAGTTTAGTTACTACTAGCTGTGATTAATGTAAGACTGTAAGCAGATGTGGTGATGCTGCTGATATGACCGTTGCGACCCTTCATATGCCCTGAGTTTAACATGCCTGCTGTAGAATAACACCAATTAGCTAAGTGACAAACTGTATTAATTCTCTCTCTCTTTCTCTCTCTCTATATACACACACACACACACACACACACACACACACACACACAAAAGAATATATAGATATGAATAATGTTGTTGCATCTTTTATCTTTTCAAATGAAACTAGAATATTTAAACTGCTTTTCATATGGTTACCTGACATGCAATCACTGAACACATTTATTATCAAGTGAAATAATATAAATTGATTTTTATGTGCATTTGAGTGGATGCATGCATTGTTGGATTGCTACTTTCTTTATTTGATTCAAACTTCTGCTTGCTTAACCTAATATCAATGGGAAACCCAAATCTGCAGCAAGAGATTTTATCAGGTGAAGTTGCAGTTCAAGTCAACAGTTTGTTGTCATATTTGTTAATGACAGCTGAGTTGAGTACTTAAAATAGAAAGTAAATAGGAAATCACAAAGTGAAAAACAGGATAAATGTCTTCTTGTAACATTCATGTCACAAGCTAATGCTACTTGTGTTATATATTTCTTACATTTTCAATAGAAGTAGCTGTTTGGTTAGTGCATTAGCATTCCAACCATGACGTTTAAATCTCACCCTATTTGATTTATGAGAATATCAGCCAAGAGAGACAATGTGCCATACCATTGTGAACTGCCTGAAAACCGTACCATAGTTTTACCCAAGCCTTGTGAGTAAAATCTGGTAGACAAAACTGTTTGTTGGTGTGTGAGCAATAAATTACAAATCATGATCAAGAGTTTAAGAGAACTGGCTTTGTTCAAAATGGTTGATCATGCCAAATTGTGCACTCTCTCCTAGAAACTGTAACTAAGGTCTGCTCAGCATAATTGTCATATAGACCACAGGTTGTCTTTGTGGATGCTGAAGAAACACAAATGTGCAAGCATCTGCAAAAAGAACAACTACTGTAGCAGGCAAAAATACTTAGAAACAAGTAGCTAGCTAGTATATATATATATATATATATATATATATATATATATGTATAAGCGGTAACTATTCCAGGTTTTGGGTCAAGCAACAGTAATAATATTATACCAGGAATATGTGAATTCTGAGATACATGTGAAATCTGCAGGTATCTAAATATACAAGATACAAGAATGGTGTCACCAGGTAACATTGACTTAAATCAGATCCCAATTCAACATTAGTGCCACTCAACCCATTAGTCAGTGGTTACCTGACACATGCAGTCACTGAATGCATTTATTATCAAGCAAAAGTATATAAACTGATTTTTATGTACATACATACACAGCATTCAAAGATGTTTCATAGTTTTCAGCCAACAAAGGTACTAGTGTTGACACCATGACATGAGTCATTTCACCTCACCTGAACCAGAAAGCATCACCATTAAATTGTGGAAGACTGAAGTCATGCCACATAAACAATCATGTTTCTAGCTTTTTTAAGTAAGTAGTCAAATTTCTCTGTGGAGGAGACTGAAACATATCTATGAATCCAGACTGTCAAAGTGGGGTATGTTTTGATGGCATTTGCAAGGACCACAAATAACATCACTGTCTATCTTGACATATGTGATATGCATAGGTCTTCTTTCAGAACATTTCATCTTTTTATTCTCATCATGTCTCATGGTTGGTGATGGTTTGTTCCAGCAACATAATGTTGTCCCACCATCATGTGTAGGCAATATGAAAATGGTTTCAGGAATACAGCTGACTACCAAATATTCCCTTGGCTCTTGTACTCACCAGATTTAAATCCCATTGAGCATGCATGGAGTATATTGCAGAATTCACAACATTCCCTGCTTGATACCCAATTTAGTTAGGGTAGTTGTGGAACAGGTATTGACTATCAGCACAAAAGATAAATATGTGACTGTCAACCACAATACAGAACTATAAAATGGATATGAACAAACTGAGATAGATATTGAATTAGTTTAGATAGATAGATAGAAATGAATAGACTGAGATAGATAGATATGAAGAGACTTAGACAGATATAAAAATAAAGAACAAGTAGGAAATGTATCTCAATCTAACACATTTCACCTTTATTAAGGCTTTGTCAGAGATCAAGATAGAAATGAAAAAAAGCAAAGAGACAGAGTACTGGTATGTTATGATTTTTGGTTAGTTTTCATTGGTCAGACACGCATCACATATATAATGACAATAGATAATATATAAATATGAGTGAGGAACATTTTGGATGTTAAGGTATGTGATAGTGTAAGAGTGTGTATCTAAAGAAATGCTTGATTTTCTAGGTGTATGTTGAATGGTAACATTAATTCATGTAAGTGTATAAGTGTGTGTGTGTGTGTGTGTATGTGAGGAATATCTATAGATGTCACCTTCGCATATGTTGGTGAAATGTAGCGAAATGTTGCAATACTTTTGTATTTGGTTGGATAGACATGAATGCAATGAGATAAATAGATATGAATGGAATTAAATAGATAGATATGAATATAATGAAATAAATAGATATGAACAGAATTATATCTACATCTATATCATATATCTACATATATGATTATATCTGATCTATATCATATATCTACATATATGATATAGATCAGTGATTCTCAACATGGTCTAGGTAGACCACCAGTGGTCCACATAGCATTTCTAGTGGTTCACAGAGAATTCATAGCAAAAAAAAAAGAAATTGTAGCCATTTCACAAAAATGTATCTAATTTATTCATACTTTGAAGAATTAAAAAATATAATATTTTGTTTAATTACACACATGTCCATTATATTAGAAAATTTCAAAATTACGTCAGTATTATACAATGCTATATTTATTTTAAAGTAGGAAGTAAAAGTAGGAGTGGTCCATTTGAATTTTTTGAAGAAAAAATGGTCCATGGGCTGAAAAAGGTTGAAAAGCACTAATATAGATAGAAAAAGAGAGAGAAACTGTTGTGTGAATTAATTTGTAGTCATTCATGTATCACTTATAAAACTGATATTTCTTGGGTTGCCAAAAAGTTTGTTCAGTTTGTTGAGGAAAAGATAATTTTTGTACCCAATACAAGGTCAAAGAGCCACTCAAGGTAGAGGGTTACTGAATGAAATTATTTTAAGGGCTTACAAGGAGGAAATAAGAGTTGTAGGATAGGTAGGATAGCTAATGGCTGACCCTAGACTTGAAGAGGTTCAGATTCACAGTGATCAAGGAAGTATCTCAGATTTATGTTTACTTACTGTTTTGTTCCATTATCTTCAGCCATCTTTCAGGCAACATCATAATCTCATTTTCCTGAAACATTCTATCTTTCTTATCAAAGAATTGTTCCAGGTGCCTTTTGCAGTCTTCCATGGAGTTGAATTTTTGTTTTTCACTAAGAGTATTCTGCAACGATCAAAAATTCCAAAGATAAAATAGTTAATGACTACATCAGATCAGTAGCAGATAACTTCACAGCCAATCTGTAACAATTTTTACCTAAATAACAATTCACTGATCTGTTTTTTTATGGCTTATCAACCCTTCATGGGTTAATTGAATCTGAAACATATTTTGGATTGTAAGAACAATTCTTTGTCAAGTGAATATTGCATTAAAAATTTTTTGATAAAAACAATGATTTTTACAGATACAAATTCTACTATTTTACCCATAGTTGAGGGAATGGATGGATCCATACCTTTCCCAAGAATATTCGTGCATAAACCCAAGTGACAAATAAACAGTTTAAAAAAGAAACAGTTTAAAAAAGAAACAGTTTAGAAAAGAAACCATTTAAAAAGAAGGTTCAGAAAAGAAATGGTCTAGAAAAGAAATCATTTAAAAAATCAAACACTATAGAAAAGAAAAAGTTTAGCATTATTATAGACTTTTTTATGTTAACTAATTCTGGAATTAAAGGAATTTAATTTAAAGGAATTAATTTAAGGGAATAAATTTTTTCTTATGTTTAACCATTATCTTTTGTGTGTGGCATTAATCCAGATCCTTCTTGAAGAGTCCAATTTAATTAATTCCATTAAATAATATGTGGAAATGACCATTCTGCACCTGATGAAGTCCACAAAACCTGAAACACATGTAGCAAAAAATATGGAAAAAATAAAGTATGATATATATATATATATATATATATATATATATATATATATAAAAATTCACATTATAACCAAAAATGTTGTTTGCAGCTTCTTTCTTCTGTTTAAAATATACACTTTTCACTTGTTAGAACAGCTATAATCTCTCCCTTATATATATATATATATATATATATATATATATATATATATTATAAACTGTTACATTGGAACATGCAAGTTACCACAACAAAAATGCAATTTTGTTTCAATGTCTAAAGACGTCTCATCAGGTGGTTAACGATGGTGGTGACGTCTTTAGATATGGTAATTTGCATGTTCCAATGTAACAGTTTATAATAAATATTTATTGCTTTACTCTTGTATTGAGCTCTTTTTAAATTGATATTATGAACGTTTGAATTTACATTCTTTTTGTTCTTTTACATTTGCATATATATATGTGTGTGTGTGTGTGTGTGTGTGTGTGTGTGTGTGTGTGTGTGTGTGTAATTTTGATATTCTCTGAAGAGTGGGCAAACAGGTCTGCCTACGAAAATCTGGAGTTGGGATGCAGCTAAATGACAAATTTTTACTTATATTAATTCTCTCTCTCTCTCTCTCTCTCTCTCTCTCTCTCATATATATATATATATATATATATATATATATATATATAAATAGTGATTTGAAATTTAACCTAGTTCACCAAAATATTGAATAGCAATCATCACCAAGAAATCTACAGGAGTAGATGAAAATTTTGTGATTTCCTAAAAATTCTACATGTCAATGAAATAAAAAAAAACATAAAAAATATACAATGAATACCATTGTGACACTGAGGCTGCGAGGTAGTTAAACATTAATTGTAAACAGAAGAAGGGTTAAGCCCAAAATGAAATATAAACTGGAAGATAGAAAGATAGAAAGAGAGAATGGAAGACATTTTCTCTGGTAATGTGAACGTGCAAAAGGCCATCTGGGTTGCCTCAACCCTATGAATTGGAATGAAGCATCAACAGTTTACTTTCTTTTATCTATCAAAAATTTGGCATGCGGGTAAAGCCAATTGGGAAATGACTTTATCACTTTCTTGGGATATTAGAAAAATACATCATTGGAGAAAAGAGAAGCAAACAGGAATTATATTTTCATCAGTGAAAACAAATTGAAAAATGAAAACATTGAACCAGCTACATGGGTTAGGATTATGATAATCGATCCATCATAACAGGCAGATGATCTAGTTTATGTTTTTGAAAAGATGATGACCAGCCCAAGAATAGAAAGCTGTGTGTCATTTTGTTGAGAATTTAGGCAAACAAATATATTTTCATTATCTATCATGCAGAAGGTTAAAATGAGAAAGTGATCTGGCTTATGTATTTTTGCTGGACAAGTGGGTCCAGGAAATGAGTCAGAGAACTGAAATTAATGAGGAGAATAAACCATGCCCTTTCTTCTATGCACTTTAAAAATTAGATTCGTCACAAAGACAGTTATGCCAGCTCTGAGGTGGGCAGAGTTAGAATACCAAGAAGGAAAGGGTAGAATATGTGGAGTAGCAATGCAAGATGTGAAGTGAAGCAGGTGGGAGTTAAGGGAGAAGCAATCCCTGTGACTACTCCCAAGGAAAGTGAATAATTCTCCAAATCTGGAAGTTGATTAAGAAAGCAGAAATAGCAAAGAAAGAAACCTTTATTGGAATTAATGAAAATTGGGGAACCACCAAATCTCCAGAGCCCTTCAGCCCCATGCCAGTTTTGCATATAAGCAGGTGGCTTTGGGGCGCTTGGTGACTTTGGGCTGAAAAAATAACATAAGGAAAATGTGATATTTGAAATTTAATGAAACTGACATAACACAAATGACAAAAAATATTTCGTAATGATATATGAAAGCCAAAATTACTCAGACATTAGATAATTTATAAATATTTCAAACCAGAGAACTCGTCTGAAATAAAGAAAAAGTAAATGAAAAATTCCTAGCAAAAAAAAATTTGGTAAACATGCACCTTCATGCCTGAAATAAGATGGAGTGAAAGACTTTTCCCCTTGACACTGCTATTATTTTGACTACCTCCACTCTTCTTCAATGATTATTGTTTTAAAAAGTGATGATTAGAATTGGAATAAAAACTAAACATATGAAAGTTAGTTTATACATTTTCTTTGTTCTTGAGAATTTACAACAAAAATGATAAACACTTTTCATTTGTATGTTTATTGTAATGGTTGGTAAAACCAATTGTCTCAAACTTTATAAAATGGTAACTAATAAGGATTTCCTTATAGTTGGTTCACATATTTTAATAATTTAGTAAATGTTTATAAATTAATGAATAAAAAATTGTTTTCATATTTAATTCTTTATAAATTGGTAAATGATAAATATTCCATTGCATTAGTTTTAATTGTATTAGTTTTTTGAATGTTGTAAATATAAAATTATTCTTGTAAATAAACAATCTAATAAATAATGTTAAATATTTTTATCATAAATTCTCAAGAACAAAAAGAAAATGTATAAATTCACTTTCATCATATGTTTAGGTTTTATTCCATTTCTAATCATCACTTTTTAAAACATTTCCAAAGAGTGAAGGTAGTTAAAAAAAAAAGGGGTGTCATGGGAAAAAAACAACTTTTTGACACTACATAGACATGTTTATCCATGTTTGTGGAATATTTTTTGGTTAAAAACAAGGCACCATTCTTAAAACCAAACTTATGTAATTAGATAGTAATCCACAAACAAAATCTCTGAACAACTTTCTAAAGCAATATTATATTCAATGTTGTCATACCCATAAAAAATAAATAAATAAAAATTAATTATAGCATCAAAAATATTTATAATCAAATAATTACAACAATTATAATTATCATTGATTCACTCATTCTAAACCAATGAGAATTAGCAACACTT